CCTAACACCTCCAATTCTTTGCTTAGCCTCTCTTCGGCTTCAGCATGTCGTCTCTTTAGTAGATTTGCATCTCTACCTATTTTATGTTCCTTATTTTCCGGAGATTCGGTCGCCTTCCTCTTCGCTCCCTTCTCTGTATCACTTCCGTTCGTATTTGCTCTTGGTCTACCAAGGCCCCATGGCTCCCAGTTGGTTCTCAAGCTGGACACTTTTTGCCCTTCTTTCTCGGGAGGTGTTCTCGAGAGTGATTCCCTCCTTTTGAAAGGGTCTTCGTCCTTGCTTGTCTCCTTTTTGTCGTTTGTACTAGAGCTGAAACTCTCGTCCTCTTTCCCCTCATCCTTATTTTTTGTTTGTTTTAGTTTGTCCTAGTTTGTCCATTTTGTTCCCACGTCTTGGGTACCGATCGGAGTCGCCCCTCGGCAGTGGTCCCATACCGAGGGGAAGGCATTTATACTGCAGGGTGCGCCTGGTGCCCTGCAGGTTTTTACGACTTCGCTGTCGGTTCTTTTATAGAGGTTGCCTCCTCGCGGGCCGGCCGATTAAGGCAAGCCCCCCGGCCAAAGGTCCCCACAGACATACCGCCGCCGCGCTCAACGGCGGTTGTTGACTGTGGGCCTTGGTTACGGTGTGTGTCCGGGTGGCTACGCTCCACCACCCGCCTTCGGGTCGTGAGCCTAAGTCGAGTCCGTGTCCATGCCTTTTTCGAGCGTTAGTCCTCCCTCGATGGGCTGCCACCTTGTCGTGGTGAGGGAGCTTTTCACCAAGAGCAGCCCACCTGACTAACTACAACCATCTCTTCAACCTGTCTCTTGCCTAGGTCGTCATAAGTGTTTTTTATTCATGGAGGTTGTCTCCTCCGTTGCTCTATTTGGTCCGCGGTGGCTATTTTATTTCACCACTACCCGCCGGCAAGCCGGTGAGGGCATTCCCCTATCCGCCACGTGGGGGACGCGCCCGGTAGGAGTTTGGCTTCTCCCCCGAGGACCTGACCTGACCTGACCTGACCTGACCTGACCTGACCTGACCTGACCTGACCTGACCTGACCTGACCTGACCTGACCTGACCTGACCTGACCTGACCTGACCTGACCTGACCTGACCTGACCTGACCTGACCTGACCTGACCTGACCTGACCTGACCTGACCTGACCTGACCTGACCTGACCTGACCTGACCTGACCTGACCTGACCTGACCTGACCTGACCTGACCTGACCTGACCTGACCTGACCTGACCTGACCTGACCTGACCTGACCTGACCTGACCTGACCTGACCTGACCTGACCTGACCTGACCTGACCTGACCTGACCTGACCTGACCTGACCTGACCTGACCTGACCTGACCTGACCTGACCTGACCTGACCTGACCTGACCTGACCTGACCTGACCTGACCTGACCTGACCTGACCTGACCTGACCTGACCTGACCTGACCTGACCTGACCTGACCTGACCTGACCTGACCTGACCTGACCTGACCTGACCTGACCTGACCTGACCTGACCTGACCTGACCTGACCTGACCTGACCTGACCTGACCTGACCTGACCTGACCTGACCTGACCTGACCTGACCTGACCTGACCTGACCTGACCTGACCTGACCTGACCTGACCTGACCTGACCTGACCTGACCTGACCTGACCTGACCTGACCTGACCTGACCTGACCTGACCTGACCTGACCTGACCTGACCTGACCTGACCTGACCTGACCTGACCTGACCTGACCTGACCTGACCTGACCTGACCTGACCTGACCTGACCTGACCTGACCTGACCTGACCTGACCTGACCTGACCTGACCTGACCTGACCTGACCTGACCTGACCTGACCTGACCTGACCTGACCTGACCTGACCTGACCTGACCTGACCTGACCTGACCTGACCTGACCTGACCTGACCTGACCTGACCTGACCTGACCTGACCTGACCTGACCTGACCTGACCTGACCTGACCTGACCTGACCTGACCTGACCTGACCTGACCTGACCTGACCTGACCTGACCTGACCTGACCTGACCTGACCTGACCTGACCTGACCTGACCTGACCTGACCTGACCTGACCTGACCTGACCTGACCTGACCTGACCTGACCTGACCTGACCTGACCTGACCTGACCTGACCTGACCTGACCTGACCTGACCTGACCTGACCTGACCTGACCTGACCTGACCTGACCTGACCTGACCTGACCTGACCTGACCTGACCTGACCTGACCTGACCTGACCTGACCTGACCTGACCTGACCTGACCTGACCTGACCTGACCTGACCTGACCTGACCTGACCTGACCTGACCTGACCTGACCTGACCTGACCTGACCTGACCTGACCTGACCTGACCTGACCTGACCTGACCTGACCTGACCTGACCTGACCTGACCTGACCTGACCTGACCTGACCTGACCTGACCTGACCTGACCTGACCTGACCTGACCTGACCTGACCTGACCTGACCTGACCTGACCTGACCTGACCTGACCTGACCTGACCTGACCTGACCTGACCTGACCTGACCTGACCTGACCTGACCTGACCTGACCTGACCTGACCTGACCTGACCTGACCTGACCTGACCTGACCTGACCTGACCTGACCTGACCTGACCTGACCTGACCTGACCTGACCTGACCTGACCTGACCTGACCTGACCTGACCTGACCTGACCTGACCTGACCTGACCTGACCTGACCTGACCTGACCTGACCTGACCTGACCTGACCTGACCTGACCTGACCTGACCTGACCTGACCTGACCTGACCTGACCTTTTTTTTTTTTTTTCTTGGGGGAGGAGGGGAAACCTTCAAAAGGCTCCCCGCGAGAAGATGTCATATTCGCGGGGGAGTGGGGGATTTTTACCGCCCTAAAACCCCTCCCCATTCTTCTGAAGACAGCCAGTACCGTCCTTAGGACATTTCTTTGGCCTGCCTTCGGTCTCACTATTTTTTCCTTTCTATACTTCTTTCTTTCTCTCTTTTTACGTCCATTATGTCATTTATATATTTGTTTATGTCGTTCCAGTTTTTCTCGCTCTTTATCATCATGTTTGTCATGTTTTCTTTCGATATACTACCCTTTAGTTTCGTGTTTAGCTCTAGCCTTTTTTCCTTAAATCTTTTACATTCAAATACTGTATGTTCGGGGGTATCCTTTACGTCCTCTTCACAGAACCAGCACAGACCCGTTTCATCTTTTTTTATTCTTTTTCTATATGTATTAAAGGTTCCATGTCCAGTTAACACCATGCTCAGATTGTAGTTTAGCTCTCCATGTCCTCTGTTTATCCAAGGCTCAATGTTATTTATCAACTCCTTTGTCCAACACCTTTCTTCGTTCCACCTCGCTTGCCAATTTGTTAGTAGGTCTCTTCTGCTCATTTCCTTGCTTTTACCTTTCTCTATGTCTTCCTTTTCTATGGCCAGGAGTTCTAGTGGTGGCAAACCCGCTATTACCAATACTGCACTGTGTCTAACCGTTCTGTATGCCCTGGCTACCCTTATGGCCAGACGTCGGTTTAGCCTTTCCAGTTTTTCTTTGTAGATTTTTGTTTTCCACACTTTCATCCATAAGGGGGCTGCGTACATAATTACCGATTTGGCTACCGTCGCATATATCCTTCTAGTGGTGTCTCCAGGGCCTCCGATATTTGGCATAAGCCTCATTATTGCAACGGCTTTTTTCTCTGCATGACTAACCACATGGTCTACATGAGCTGCCATTCTAAGGTCTTTGTCTATTACTAGTCCGAGGTATTTTATTTTTTTTTGTGTTTTGACGTAAAAATTTTCCGATATCTTTATTTTTAATTCCGGTAGTTTTCTCCTCCCCGACAGTAGAACTGCGTCTGTCTTTTCAAGATTTAATGTTAAGTCCATTTTGTCCAGCTCATTTTTCACTAATTGAATTGCGTCTTTGGCTTTTTCTTGCATTTCTGTTTCGCTTTTTGCGCACACCACCACCGCGAGATCGTCTGCGAATGCGACCAAACTAGTTCCTTTTGGACATTTTATTTTTAAGATTCTGTCATACAATACATTCCACAATATTGGCCCTAGCACTGAACCTTGGGGGACTCCGCATGTTATTTCCTGTACTCGTCCTCTACTTGTTCTTATTTTCCTGTTTGTCAGATATTTTTGTATCACCTTTATTAAATGCCTACCTATTTTTTTGTTGATCAGTTCTTCTACTATAATTTCCCATCTGGCTGAATTGAATGCATTGCTAATGTCTAACGTAACAAGGAGACAAAATCCCCTGTTTTTATATCCCACTTTGTTTGTCTCTTCAGCTCTCTGCATCACATATTTGATTGCGTCTAAAGTTGACCTCCCGCATCTGAATCCGTATTGCTGTTCCGACAGATCCCCGTTTTCGCGTATTTCGTTTTCCAGTCGTGTTTTTATTAGTCTTTCATACAATTTACTAATGTTATTTAAGAGACATATTGGTCTAAATTCCTTATTTTGCATTTCAGGTTTCATGGGTTTCTCTATCAGCACTAGTTTGGCTATTTTCCATTCCGTCGGAAATGCCCCTTTTTGCCATAAGCTGTTTATACAATCCAATAGCAGGTGGTAATTTCCCTCGGCTACCGCTTTTATTATTTCTATTTTTATACCGTCTGGTCCGGGAGCTTTCTTATTTTTACATTTGCTTAATGCCTCCTTAAGTTCTTCTACGGTAAAGTTTGGCTGCTGCTCTGTGTATTCGGGTTCATCCCACCTTATCTGTGGCTTTGAAGGGAATAATTTCTTAATTTGTGCTTCTTCAGTCTCTTCATCAGGGATTGGCGTACACTTTCTAAACTTCTTTGTTATGATTTTGTATCCTTTCCCCCATCTATCTTCTTCGATCTCCAGTAATAGACTTTTCCACGCGTCGCTTTTTGCTTTTCTTATAGCTATTTTAAGATTCAATTTAGCTTTTTTATATGCCACTTCTGCTTGTTTTCTCCTATCTTCAATATTTATGTCCCTTCCTGTTTTTGTCATTTCTCGTCTCTTTTTATGGTGGTTCTTCTTAGCTCCGCAATTTCTGCATTCCACCAGTAAACTGGTGGCCTTCTTTTGCTTTTGTTTGTCTTACTCAGGGAATTATTGCACACTTCTTTTATAGTCTCTCTTAAATATTTCACTTTCTCGTTTAAGTCAGCATTTATTGGAAAATCCCAGTATTCGGCTATTTGTTTTTTTATTTTTTCTAACCCTGCTGTATTTAGTATCCAACTATTAGTTTTTTCCGGTTCTTGGATTCTTTTTGTCTGTTTATTCCTTGTATAGAAGATGTTATTGTGGTTACTTAAGTTCTCGCTGTCTGTATCTACATACCAGTTCGAGATTTCTTTCGCGACCATTTCTGTGGCTAGTGTAATATCGATGACCGACGATCCTCTTTCAGTTTGGAATGTTGGTCTATTGCCAACATTTATTATCCAAAGCCCTGCCTCGGCTATAAATTCTTCTAGTATCTTCCCCCTACTGTCTGTGTATTTAGCTCCCCATGTTTTAGATTTAGCATTTAGATCCCCCGAAATTATCATTTTGTTTGTATTTTTTTTTCCTTTTATATCTCTCTGTAACTTGTCTAGAAAGCACAAAAATTGTTGATTGCTCTTGTTGGGAGAAAAATAGCACGAATAATACAGAGTATCTTCTATTCGGACCCACACATAGCCTGGCCCTTTTCCACATTCACTCACATTCGATTTGAAAATATCACAGACTATTATCACAGCATCTTGTTTAGTATCACAGTATATATCACTTGTTCCCAGTGCCTTTATATTTGGCTCTTGGGCTAGCACCAGATCTATATTTTTTTCCTCTATGGTCTTTCTCATAAGTGCCATGGCCATGGCTGATCTGTTTAGATTCACTTGTAGGAACCTGTGTTGTGTCACCATTTTGGTGAGCGGTATTTTGTTTATTTGCGCCATTTCAGTTTAGTTTTTGCGGAGCCTCCGCACTTCTCTTAGCTTCCTTTAATGCTATTCTGAAGATCTTACATGCTGAACTACCCGCTGTGTGCCCTTCTTTTTCGCAAAGTGGACATTTTGCCTCGTTGTTACACTGCCCGGCTTGATGCCCTTCTTTCCCACATTTATAGCATGTATTTCTTCTATCTATTTCTTCTAAACATTCACTCGCTGCATGTCCGTAACCCCAGCACCGATAACATCGCGTCATCTGCATACGTTCTTCGATTTTACCTTTTACAATTCCTATCATCACAAATTCTTTCCTGATCAAGGTTTCCGCGCTGTCTTTATCTATCGTTATCGTGATTGTTTGTGTGTTATTTCTCGTTGGTCTCACTTCGCCTACTTTCATCTCTACTTCTCCTCTATCTCCCAATTCTCTCCTGATTGCCTGTTTAACTTCTTCTTTATTAGTTGTTGCGTCTAGGTTTCTTATAAACAGTGTTTTCTTGTTTCTATTTATGTTTGTTATTTGTCTCACGTTTGCCTCTTCAATATTTTCTATAATTGTTTTTCTTATGTTTTGTTCCTTTTCCTGGTCTTTATCTGTTATAATCAGCATTTTACCATCTCTCGTACTCCTCACCGTTCTTATAGCTTTTCTATCTTCCTTTTCCGCCAGTGTGGCTTTTACTTCTTTTAAGAGGGTATTGTAGTCGACTCCTTTTTTTTCGACCACTATCGCGTACGAATTTGTTGCTTTGAACTGTCTCTTTCCGGTTTCTGCTTGAAGACTTTTCGGTACGTACATTTTTATTTTTGTTTGCGTCTCCATGAATATACACTGCATCATCTTTCTCAGTTCTTCTCCTTCTATTTCTGCTATCTTATGTGTCACTATGTTTTCTATTTTTTCTTCCTTCGTGTATTCTCGAACTTTTTCTAATAGATCCCATAGGTCATCCTTTGTATCTATCGTCTTTATTTTAATAATCTTCCGAGTTGTTTCTCTTACTTCGTCCTTGTTCTCTATGTTTCTTGTTTTAACCACATTCTCTATTATTTCAAAGTTATTTCTCATTTCTGTCATTTCTGGATACCTATCCCTGAACATTTTTTGAATACTTCGGTTCATATCCGGGTCTCCCGGTTCTGCTATTACTAGCATGCACTCGCTCTTTGTTTCGCTCAATGGGTTTCCCACTACTACCTCCACGTTTTCGAAAGCATTTTGTTCCCATGCATTATTTTTGATTTTATCGAATTTTTCTCTATTGTCCGCTTCTAATATTTCTTGCTTTGTAACGTTCATTTTTTGAACACCTCTCTCTGCTATTTTCTCCGCTTTTCTTAGTTTTTCCATTAGCCGTTCTTTTTCTTCATGCACAGCTGCTATTTTTTCTTCCAACTTTTTCTTTGTTATCTTACTTTCTTCTTCTATATGTTTTACTGTCCCCTTCAGGGTGTCTATTTTTTTTTGCCACTCTTTTCCTTTTTCATCTTCTTCTTCCTCTTTTACTCTAATGATTTCTATTAATTTTTTATAACTTCTTTGTATAATTTCGATACTTTTCTTTACAGGTACATGAACGTTCCTGTTTTCTTGAATGAAGTTACCTAACACCTCCAATTCTTTGCTTAGCCTCTCTTCGGCTTCAGCATGTCGTCTCTTTAGTAGATTTGCATCTCTACCTATTTTATGTTCCTTATTTTCCGGAGATTCGGTCGCCTTCCTCTTCGCTCCCTTCTCTGTATCACTTCCGTTCGTATTTGCTCTTGGTCTACCAAGGCCCCATGGCTCCCAGTTGGTTCTCAAGCTGGACACTTTTTGCCCTTCTTTCTCGGGAGGTGTTCTCGAGAGTGATTCCCTCCTTTTGAAAGGGTCTTCGTCCTTGCTTGTCTCCTTTTTGTCGTTTGTACTAGAGCTGAAACTCTCGACCTCTTTCCCCTCATCCTTAGACCTGACCTGACCTGACCTGACCTGACCTGACCTGACCTGACCTGACCTGACCTGACCTGACCTGACCTGACCTGACCTGACCTGACCTGACCTGACCTGACCTGACCTGACCTGACCTGACCTGACCTGACCTGACCTGACCTGACCTGACCTGACCTGACCTGACCTGACCTGACCTGACCTGACCTGACCTGACCTGACCTGACCTGACCTGACCTGACCTGACCTGACCTGACCTGACCTGACCTGACCTGACCTGACCTGACCTGACCTGACCTGACCTGACCTGACCTGACCTGACCTGACCTTTTTTTTTTTTTTTTTTTTTTTTTTCTTTTTTTTTTCTTGGGGGAGGAGGGGAAACCTTCAAAAGGCTCCCCGCGAGAAGATGTCATATTCGCGGGGGAGTGGGGGATTTTTACCGCCCTAAAACCCCTCCCCATTCTTCTGAAGACAGCCAGTACCGTCCTTAGGACATTTCTTTGGCCTGCCTTCGGTCTCGCTATTTTTTCCTTTCTATTCTTCTTTCTTTCTCTCTTTTTACGTCCATTATGTCATTTATATATTTGTTTATGTCGTTCCAGTTTTTCTCGCTCTTTATCATCATGTTTGTCATGTTTTCTTTCGATATACTATCCTTTATTTTCGTGTTTAGCTCTAGCCTTTTTTCCTTAAATCTTTTACATTCAAATACTGTATGTTCGGGGGTATCCTTTACGTCCTCTTCACAGAACCAGCACAGACCCGTTTCATCTTTTTTTATTCTTTTTCTATATGTATTAAAGGTTCCATGTCCAGTTAACACCATGCTCAGGTTGTAGTTTAGCTCTCCATGTCCTCTGTTTATCCAAGGCTCAATGTTGTTTATCAACTCTTTTGTCCAACACCTTTCTTCGTTCCACCTCGCTTGCCAATTTGTTAGTAGGTCTCTTCTGCTCATATCCTTGCTTTTACCTTTTTCTATGTCTTCCTTTTCTATGGCCAGGAGTTCTAGTGGTGGCAAACCCGCTATTACCAATACTGCACTGTGTCTAACCGTTCTGTATGCCCTGGCTACCCTTATGGCCAAACGTCGGTTTAGCCTTTCCAGTTTTTCTTTGTAGATTTTTGTTTTCCACACTTTCATCCATAAGGGGGCTGCGTACATAATTACCGATTTGGCTACCGTCGCATATATCCTTCTAGTGGTGTCTCCGGGGCCTCCGATATTTGGCATAAGCCTCATTATTGCAACGGCTTTTTTCTCTGCATGGCTAACTACATGGTCTACGTGAGCTGCCATTCTAAGGTCTTTGTCTATTACTAGTCCGAGGTATTTTATTTTTTTTTGTGTTTTGACGTAAAAATTTTCCGATATCTTTATTTTTAATTCCGGTAGTTTTCTCCTCCCCGACAGTAGAACTGCGTCTGTCTTTTCAAGGTTTAATGTTAAGTCCATTTTGTCCAGCTCATTTTTCACTAATTGAATTGCGTCTTTGGCTTTTTCTTGCATTTCTATTTCGCTTTTTGCGCACACCACCACCGCGAGATCGTCTGCGAATGCGACCAAACTAGTTCCTTTTGGACATTTTATTTTTAAGATTCTGTCATACAATACATTCCACAATATTGGCCCTAGCACTGAACCTTGGGGGACTCCGCATGTTATTTCCTGTACTCGTCCTCTACTTGTTCTTATTTTCCTGTTTGTCAGATATTTTTGTATCACCTTTATTAAATGACTACCTATTTTTTTGTTGATCAGTTCTTCTACTATAATTTCCCATCTGGCTGAATTGAATGCATTGCTAATGTCTAACGTAACTAGGAGACAAAATCCCCTGTTTTTATATCCCACTTTGTTTGTCTCTTCAGCTCTTTGCATCACATATTTGATTGCGTCTAAAGTTGACCTCCCGCATCTGAATCCGTATTGCTGTTCCGACAGATCCCCGTTTTCGCGTATTTCGTTTTCCAGTCGTGTTTTTATTAGTCTTTCATACAATTTACTAATGTTATTTAAGAGACATATTGGTCTAAATTCCTTATTTTGCATTTCAGGTTTCATGGGTTTCTCTATCAGCACTAGTTTGGCTATTTTCCATTCCGTCGGAAATGCCCCTTTTTGCCATAAGCTGTTTATACAATCCAATAGCAGGTGGTAATTTCCCTCGGCTACCGCTTTTATTATTTCTATTTTTATACCGTCTGGTCCGGGAGCTTTCTTATTTTTACATTTGCTTAATGCCTCCTTAAGTTCTTCTACGGTAAAATTTGGCTGCTGCTCTGTGTATTCGGGTTCATCCCACCTTATCTGTGGCTTTGAAGGAAATAATTTCTTAATTTGTGCTTCTTCAGTCTCTTCATCTGGGATTGGCGTACACTTTCTAAACTTCTTTGTTATGATTTTGTATCCTTTCCCCCATCTATCTTCGTCGATCTCCAGTAATAGACTTTTCCACGCATCGCTTTTTGCTTTTCTTATAGCTATTTTAAGATTCAATTTAGCTTTTTTATATCCTATCTTCATTATTTATGTCCCTTCCTATTTTTGTCATTTCTCGTCTCTTTTTTATGGTGGTTCTTCTTAGCTCCGCAATTTCTGCATTCCACCAGTAGACTGGTGGCCTTCTTTTGCTTTTGTTTGTCTTACTCAGGGAATTATTGCACACTTCTTTTATAGTCTCTGTTAAATATTTCACTTTCTCGTTTAAGTCAGCATTTATTGGAAAATCCCAGTATTCGGCTATTTGTTTTTTTATTTTTTCTAACCCTGCTGTATTTAGTATCCAACTATTAGTTTTTTCCGGTTCTTGGATTCTTTTTGTCTGTTTATTCCTTGTATAGAAGATGTTATTGTGGTTACTTAAGTTCTCACTGTCTGTATCTACATACCAGTTCGAGATTTCTTTCGCGACCATTTCTGTGGCTAGTGTAATATCAATGACCGACGATCCTCTTTCAGTTTGAAATGTTGGTCTATTGCCAACATTTATTATCCAAAGCCCTGCCTCGGCTATAAATTCTTCTAGTATCTTCCCCCTACTGTCTGTGTATTTAGCTCCCCATGTTTTAGATT